CTCATAGTAACCTAATGAATGGGAAAAGCCAAATCTCTTGTTCTGGGCAGGATTAAGTGTGGCAGATCTCCCTGAACCACTGTTCATGCCTCATTAGCATCAGAGATGATATCAAGCCCAAGCTGAGCAGCTGCAGTCTCTTTACAGGGACAGGCCCAGCCCAGAAGGGTTTATTGGCAAAGGCTGTAAACACAGTGAACCATTGCATGAGAGTGTAACTACGGCTTTTGCTGAGGTACCTCAGCTGTCTGTCCGTACCTTAACTGATTTAGGAGAAAGACCTTGTTATTGGACTCACAACCAATGACAAATTAGAAGCAATTTAGTTCCTTTCAAAGAAATTAGTAATAACTCTGACCCTCTCCAATCTCAATTAGTCACCCTTTCTTTATGCTCACAAAGCATTTTATTTGTATCTCTAGTTGGCCCGGGCTGCGAGTCATTGCATTTTCTATGTTGTTAGTTCACACGTTGGCAATGTAAAGTGGTTCGAAGTGGGAGCTCATCGGGTACCCACGCCTAGGTTGCGAGGCTTTTGTAAATATTTAGCATATAATATTTGACACCTTTTAAGGCAGTAATAGATGGATACATTCAAAGAGACTTTAAATAATTTAATAATATAATTTTGTTACTGGAGATTATGTATGAGAGTAAGACTCTAAAGTAAATAAAATAAGGGTGACCCTCCTTCCAGTGAAGGATTAAAAATAAGAAATAGAATCTTTTCACTTAATCTGCATCTGTGCATTCCAGACCAGGACACAGAGACTTTGTTGTTTTTCATTTCTAGAAGGACAGAAGAAGAATCTTTTGGACTTTTAAATAAGTCAGTTGTGCCGTAAAGTGTACTATGTGCAGTAAAATTATTTAATGTGGAAAGAATGTGGTGAAGAGTATAGTGACATGCTATTTGTAATGTGTAGCGTCCAAGGACACTCTCTTTTTCTGAAACAATGTTTTGAAAAAGATGTTAATTTTAGAAGTTGGCTACACAGCTCCTGACCCTGCCCTGGCTCCGGCTCCCGGTACCATGACACAGAGATCGCCATTGACTTTGCAACATTTAAAAGTGACCATCCGGGTTTTAAAACATAGATCACTACCCACACGTGTGCAAAGAAAATCTCACCGAGAGGCTGTAGCTGGTAGGCACCTATCTTGCAGCTTGACGCATTTCATTTGTTATTTCGGGCAGGTGATGGGAGGAGGCTAAGTTTTTAGTAGCGCTCCCCCACCCTGTTCTTATAATTTAGGAGTCAGTATGTCTGACACAGGCATGGTTTAGGTTGACCTAACATTAAGGATTTAAACTGATGGGAGCGAGGAAGCTTTGAAATTTAAGGCAGTTGTATGCCAATTATGTTTTTGAAGCTCTTTGGAAATGAAAGTGGGAAGAAATTTTGCTTGTTAATTGTACATTGCTTAGCGTGGAGTTTAGACTGTTAAAAGCATTACAGCTCCCATAGGACTCAAGTTCGATGTTCCTGACTGCTCTTCTCAGTGGGTGATTGTTGATAGCCTTTTTTTCTTGTAATAGGATGAAAAGCTGACTTTTTTACTTATGTAATTAATGTGTGATGATCTCTATTATGATGGTGACCCAGGGCTGACTCCCCAACCTTTAGAATCCCACTTGGAAAACTTCTCCATGTTTGTGATTTTTCCACCGACTTCTCCCAGCCCCTCTCCTGTACAGTGGCCTCCTCTTGTACATCCCGTATCACAACTAAAATGTGCAAGGACACACAAGGTCCTCCATAATCTCATGCTCTGGGCCAAACTGTGAAGAACATAGGGTGCGTCAGGTGACAGGGAGGGGACCCAGACCCAGACACAATTAGACTGAGGGACACCTATGTCATTTCTTTGAATTGCACAAAGCAAGGCTCTGCGTCCACCTCCCACAGTTATTCCTTGGATTTTGTTTTTACATTGAGCACATTCTTACTGTCCCAGCCTTTGCTGTGCAAGAAGGTTTGTCCAAGAGTGTGTCTTTGTTACTGTGATTTCTTATAAAGACAGTTCAGGGGGCTGGGGAGGGCTATGTTCCCAAGGCCTCAATGGAAGCTTTTGGGTGCTGGCAGCACATCTGCCTGGCCACCAATTCATGGAGCCACTCATCTACACACTCACCATCCCTGTTAAAGATTCACACGGAGACTAGGACTTGTGCATATGGCAGCAACACGTAGTGGAAACAGTAAAGTTCCCTTCCCTTCCCTTCCCTTCCCTTCCCTTCCTTTCCCTTTCCCTTCTCCTTTCCCTTTTCCCTTCCCTTCCCTTCCCTTCCCTCCCCTCCCCTTCATTCCACTCCCCTCCCGTCCTTTCTTCCCCTCCCCTCCCCCTCCCTCCTTTCTTCCCCTCCCTCCTTTCTTCCCCTCCCCCTCCCTCCTTTCTTCCCCTCCCTCCTTTCTTCCCCTCCCCCTCCCTCCTTTCTTCCCTCCCCTTCTTTTTTCTTGTTTCGGGGTTTTAGTTTTGAAAGTCAGAAAAATCCTGGCTTTACCATGGATTAGCCAAGAAGATTCCTTGACACCTTACGTTCCCTATTTGAAAAAGTGGGAGTAGTGACACATGTTCAGAGCAGCATTACGGAAGTTGAATGAGTTCCTGGGTCCTGCAGGAACATGGTGTGGGGCACATTGCAGGTGTGCTCTTGGTGTGCCTTCCTTTTCTTCTGGCTGGACCCAAACTCCACCTCCTCAGCATGCCTTCGGTTCATCTTCTGTAATCTTCCATGGTGTTGCTCCTCTCCCACCCTGACTGCTAAGAGTGTTCTTCTGTCCGTGGGTCCACCTTCTGGTGTCCTTCCTTTTCCTCTAGTAGCTTCATATGACTTTCCTGGAAGATCATGAAGCTTGGCACTGCTAAGGAGGTTGTGTTTCCCATAGCCTAGGAGCAGAGTTTTAATGAGTTCTTTCACGGGGGAAAAAAGGGAGGAGTGCAGTTGTCCTTTACCTCTAACACGCAGTTTGGTTCTACAAGTACCAGTTTTTCCAAGCTGAATGTGGGCTACTGTGTGTGTAGATGCAAAGGCTGTGAACATTTCTCCACAGCTCCGCAACTTGCTGCAGGGAGAAGTAAAGTTAGATTACTGATTGGATGGGGGCTATGAGCTGAAGGTCTATTTATTTTCATTACTAAAACAAATATGATTTTGGTTTATGCAGATTATCCCCTTTCTACTTAGACGGCAATGAATATTCAGTGAGGATATCAATAAGGGCCATGCCAGTGGTTGGGCTTCCAGAGCTGTCCCCTGCATGCTAAAAGACAGAAGAAACTTTAAGTGATTGAGAATGAAAATGAGAGATTGATTGGAAGCCAAATTATAAATTCATTTCCACTCTTGGCCTGCAGGCTGCGAAGTAGCATTATTTGTTGTCAAGGATGGAAAACAACTCAGATTCACATCCAAGTGATTATTCCACTTTGACACTGGTGCCTCGCTGCCAACTGCAGTTCCATTTGGACACAGATTAATTAGCCTGGCGAAGGCGGAGGGAGGCTGGGAGACAGCAGCCAAAGGGGGCAGCACAGCGAGGCAGTGAGGTGGGGTCATTGGGACTTGGCCCCAGGTGATTGGCAGCCCGCTTCAAGGTAAAACGCACTGTAACTGGGTGGGTGGAAAACAGACTCTGCACTTCCCTGCTACCTTCCACGTCTACCGACTTGGCTAATGCCAGTGTGCCGGAGAAACTCTTCACCCTCAGACCCCAGGAGCGTTCCCAGGGAGACCGGACCTGTACGGCAGACCCTGGAGGCTCATCAGTCTGCTCTGGGGCTCCTGTAAACCCTGCAGGCCTTTTTATCACTCCTGCAAGTGCCATGGAACCAAGAGTGCTGTATGCACACACACGTTACTTGTATTGTAAGGACAGATGGGATACAAATCACTAAACTCTTGGGAAAGCCGACTGTGCGTTAGCTAAGTGAACACAGGGCTCTGGACACATGTAACAGGTAGGCTCGGTCTTTTCTCAGGGCATTGCCCACTGGCCTTCCATTCCAGAGTCTTGCTTTTACCTTTCTCCCATTCTGCTTTCATTTTAGCACACACATCTGTTTCCTCCAGTGAAATTCCTCACAGGCAGGGACAGTGTGGTGTGGGGCCCACTCCTGTCCCCTCCACGGTGGAATAGAAGGAGCTCGGAGCGCAGCAAGCCTGCGCCTGGGGTGGGGGGGGGGGTCGGCAGTGAGGGGCCCCCAGCGGGACACAGCGCTCTGTCTCCCAGGGAGCTTGTGCTCCTTGGGAAACGACCCCCTGGTGCAGCCGTGGCCGCGCGAGGCGCCCTGGTGGCTGGCGCTGTCGCCCCACCGCGCGCGGCGCTCCCGGGGGAAC